TGAGTCGATATTGCCATAATGTCCGGTACAAAGCAGATAATCTGGATTTTATATGGCAGTGTAGAAGAGGCCTCAGCCTCTGCAGAGCCAATGCTATTATCTTGAATTGTATTCTGCTAACTTTAATTTTCTTCAGGACAGTGCAACTAATAATATTAATCCTAATTATATTTCTCACCCACCTCTCCTCGTGGTTCAAGGCGGGTCACAGCACAATTAAAACACATAAACATTGTAAACATTCTATAAATATATTCATATTTCTATAAAGATAGGTATTAAAATGCATTTCTATAAAATACATATTAAAATACACAGAACAGAGATTAAACACAAGCTATGGGTTTAAAATTTAAAAAACATACATGTATATACACATACACACATGTAGACATACACATGCAGACTGTCAAGACCCAGAGCAGTCAGCAACACACACGGCACCGATGGAGTATACATATAGATGTACATATATACATATATAAACACATATGTATGCACATACACTGACATATAAAGATATATGTATACACATGTATGCATACACATACATAGATACTTACACATGATAAAAAATAATGGTAATAATAATAATAATAATAAACTTTATAACCCACCCCCTCTCCCTGAAGGGACTCATATACACACGTCTACATATACACATTTATAGATGTACATATATCATATATACACACATACGTTCATAAACATATAGACATATGTATGTATACATAGGCACACACACATAAGCACACATATGCACACATGTATGCATACATATACACATACAGGCATTTACACATGCATACATACACATGTATACATACATACATATATATATATATATATATATACACACACACACACAAACACACACAGATATATACACACACATGTACACATATACACATATATAGATGTACATATATAATATATACACACATACATGCATAAACATATAGACATATGTATGTATACATGTATACATACACACGCACACATAAGCACACATGTATGCATACATATACACATACAGGCATTTACACATGCATACATACACATGTATACACAGATATATATATATATATACACACATAGATATATACACACAGATGTACACATATACATATACAAATATATAGATGCACATATATACACATACATACTTACGCATACATACATATATACACATACACGCAAACACGTACACATGTATACAGATATATATATACACAAACATATATATGGTCAATTAGAAGCAGAACGCCCCATTCCTCGTTACCTGTAGGTCTTTCCTGTACATCAGGAACTTTCCTACAAGCCGAAGCAGCCTGTCGTTGTAGCTGGTGTAGTCCAGGTACAGCTCGTGGTCGTGCGTCATCCGGAGGGCCATGCGGCCAGCGATTTCGGCAGCCATGCGCATCGTACTCTCCAGCTGACCAGCAGAGGAACCAAAGGAGCTGAGCAGGTTGGTGATAGTATCGTCCTCTGTTCCCAGGTAGGGGTAAACCTTTTCGCCCTGCAAGAGGGAAGCAGACCTATGGAAACCTCAGTCACAATGCATCCACTTAATGTGTGTATTTGTGGTATTTTCCACAATGTTTGTGTTTTAATTACTCTGTAACGTGCCTCGATCCATGAGGTTTTGTAATGGCATGTCTTTATCCTTGGCAGTTTAAAGACATGGTTCTTCAGGTTAACAGCTGAGTTACCTCTGTGCCATTACAGGAATGCATGTGCAAAGGGTTGATTTCTAACAAGGCCATGCTTTGGGTTGTTGTAGGTTTTTTCGGGCTTTATGGCCATGTTCTAGAGGCATTCTCTCATGATGTTTTGCCTGCATCTATGGCAAGCATCCTCAGAGGTAGTGAGGTCTGTTGGAACTAGGAAAAGGGGTTTATAGATCTGTGGAAAGACCAGGGTGGGACAAAGGACTCTTGTCTGCTGGAGCTAGGTGTGAATGTTTCAACTGACCACCTTGATTAGCATTTGATGGCTTGGCAGTGCCTGGGGCAATCTTCAGAGGTAGTGAGGTCTGTTGGAACTAGGAAAAAGGGTTTATATATCTGTGGAAGGACCAGGGTGGGACAAAGGACTCTTGTCTGCTGGAGCTAGGTGTGAATGTTTCAACTGACCACCTTGATTAGCATTTGATGGCCTGGCAGTGCCTGGAGCAATCTTTTGTTGAGAGGTGATTAGATGTCCCTGATTGTTATCCCTCTGCTGTTTTAATTTTAGAGTTTTTTTAATACTGGTAGCCAGATTTTGTTCATTTTCATGGCTTTCCAGGCACTTCCAGGCCAAAATGCTAATCAAGGTGGTCAGTTGAAACATTCACACCTAGCTCCAGCAGACAAGAGTCCTTTGTCCCACCCTGGTCATTCCACAGATATATAAACCCAATTTTCCTAGTCCAACAGACCTCACTACCTCTGAGGATGCTTGCCATAGATGCAGGCGAAACGTCAGGAGAATGCCTCTAGAACATGGCCATATAGCCCGAAAAAACCTACAACAACCCAGTGATTCCGCCCATGAAAGCCTTCGACAATACAAAGTCATGCTTTTCTTGACTAGTGGCTTTCAAAATGTTCGTGGAGATTCACATTTGCCAAACGGATGTGACATCGTTTTTACCTTTTCAGTTAGTTTACGGTGCACTTATTTCCAATAGGTTATGGAATTTCCAATTATGAGCAGAAGGACTAGAGTTTTTTTTCTATATTTACTTGTAAGTCTGAAGTGTAAACAAAGAGCTTACGTTAGAGAAGCTGAATGAAATCGCTGGGATTCCTGAGTAGGCGATGAACGGGAAGCTTGCGTCATCCAAACGAAGCGGCTTCCTGCAAAAGAAACAAATCAGCTCTTAGTCCCAGTGTTTTGGAACAAGGTGCTTCAGCAGCGCTCAAAAACAGGCAAACATAAATCCATCCTGACTACAACTGTTCTGTCACACACTGGGTCTGTAATAATTGTCTTTTGAAATAGGATGTACACCTTGTGCCCAGCGGGAAGCCAGTCTGTGCGCATTCAGAAGATCTACAAGCCACTCTAAACACCTTCGCAGAAGCATACACGAAGCTTGGCCTGTCACTGAACATCGAGAAAACCAAAGTGCTGTTCCAGCAGTCACCAGCCATCCCTCCCCAATGCCAGAGATACAGCTTAATGGTGTAACATTAGAAAATGTTGACCATTTCCGCTCCCTTGGCAGCCACCTCTCCACCAAAGTCAACATCGACACCAAAATACAACACCGCCTGAGCTCTGCGAGTGCAGCATTTTCCCGAATGAAGCAGAAAGTGTTTGAGAACCGGGACATCCGTAGGGATACCAAGGTGCTTGTCTATAAAGCTATTGTCCTCCCAACCCTGCTCTATGTCTGCGAAACGTGGACTGTCTACAGACGTCACATGCAACTCCTGGAACGATTCCATCAGCGCTGCCTCCGGAAAATCCTGCAAATATCTTGGGAAGTCAAGCGGACAAACGTCAGCGTGCTGGAAGAAGCAAAGACCACCAGCATTGAAGCAATGGTCCTCTGCCACCAACTCTGCTGGACCGGCCACGTTGTCCGGATGCCTGACCACCGTCTCCCAAAGCAGTTGCTCTACTCCGAACTTAAGAACGGAAAACGGAACTGTTGGTGGACAGGAAAAGAGATTTAAAGATGGGCTCAAAGCCAACCTTAAAAACTCTGGCATAGACACTGAGAACTGGGAAGCCCTGGCCCTTGAGCGCTCCAGCTGGAGGTCAGCTGTGACCAGCAGTGCTGCAGAATTTGAGGAGGCACGAGTGGAGGGTGAAAGAGAGAAACGTGCCAGGAGGAAGGCGCGTCAAGCCAACCCCGACCGGGACCGCCTTCCACCTGGAAACCAATGCCTTCACTGTGGGAGAAGATGCGGGTCAAGAAGAGGGCTCCACAGCCACCTACGAATCCACAAGGAAACCCATCATGGAAGACCATCTTACTCGTCCAACGAGGGATCACCTAAGTAAGTAAGTAAGTAAGTAAGCCCAGCGGGAAGCCAGGGCGCCACAAAAGAGGCCCTCAAAGATTTTCCTGAAGAAATGGTCTTTAGATGGTTTGAAAGGTTAAACAAAGTCCTTTATTATTGAACAAATTAAACAGATATTTCTCAAATCTTCAATGAGTCAAACAAATGCTTCAAGGCTTTAAATCAACTGGTGGCTTCCTTAATCTTGTCCACAAGGGACAGGCAACTGTCTTCGTTAATTGTTCTTATACTTTGAGAGGAAAACCCTTTTTTAACCTCTCCCAGGCTGTCTGTTATCTAAGTTTTGTTGGTGTGGGATCTACTACCGATTCCAAACTGCGTCTTGGTACCGAGTAAACCTACCAGACAAAGCTTGTAGATTCTCCAGCTGGAGTTCTTTGGGTCTGTAAAGCTGTTTTCCCTCTGGAATTTCTTTAAGACTTTAGGGCTGTTTCCCTCAGATGCTGTAAGGCTGAGAGGCTGCAAGCTCCCAGCCAGAGCTTTGGGAATTTCCCCCCGGAATGTCCTGAGAAATGAAGCTTTTCTGCAGGTGAAGCTTGTCCACGTCCTCTAACTTAGCTTTCCTCACTAAGACTAACTAAAAATGGCCCCCTCTTCCCTTCCCATCTCCCTGGGAGAAGGGGCGGATCCAGACTTAACAATGATAGACAGGTGGCTTGCCCTATGACTGCAAACCAAAGGAAGCCACTTTTTTGCAGAATCCCTGAAACTTTGGAATGCATGCAAATACTTAATAGAAAGAAAATAAAGTTGGAGCTCCTGTAGAAGTACCAGCACAACAACCAAAGGTAGGACCAAATCTGTATTTGTGCATGAAGGGCTTGTGGCGCAGCTGGTTGGGAGTCAGATGCATTAAAATCACTTTCCAGCTTCATGAGGGTATGCTTTTTGAATTCCGACCACCGGGGGAGCTGTCGCTTTACCGTCCACTTGTGACGCCGATGGAGTACTTCTTCATTCTTTTGCACACTGCTGGAAAGTTTTATGGCGTTGTAAATTCATTCATTAGCCTCCTCGCATAAGCGGTACCTACCGTATATTCCGGCATATAAGACGACTGGGCGTATAAGACGACCCCCAACTTTTCCAGTTAAAATATAAAGTTAAGACGACTCCCATGCATAAGACTACACCCGCATATAAGACGACCCCTGACTTTTGAGAAGATTTTCTTGGGTTAAAAAGTAGTCTTATACGCCAGAATATACTGTAAATTTCCTACTTGACAGATTCAACTATCTTTCGGGCTACAAAGGTTGACAGCAAGCTAGACAAACGGTCGGGAGGTTACTCCAACTCAGGCTGGCTTCAAACTCATGACCATGATTTTAATGCAGCTGACTCCCAACCAGGTATTTAATCCTGTTTTTTATATTTGGAGATTTCAAAGTGTATTGAAATGCTTTTAATATAAGCAGTTTTGAGTCTCCCTGTGGGGAGAAAAAGCAGGGCATAAACATAATAATAATAATAATAATAATAATAATAATAATAATAATAATGCTTTTGTCACCTTGAGATCTGATAGGAGAAACCCCACAACAGCAGAACCAATATCTCAGGTTTTCATATCTCTACTTCTTGCCCTCCTCCTGGAGGGTTCATGACTAATCCAATTTCATTGCAACCACATCTGAACAGTGAATGGAAACATTTCCATACTTACTCTTTGGAGGCCAGGACATCCTTAATGTTGCTGGAAGACACCTTGAACTACAAGAGGAAAACAATAAGTAAATATGCAATTTTAAAAAAATGTTCAGATATAAATTGATTTTTCCCCCCAAACATTTTTTTTAAATCGTGTCAGAAGTGACTTGAGAACATACTGCAAGTCGCTTCTGGCGTGAGAGAATCAGCTGTCTATAAAGACACTGCCCAGGGTATGCCCAGATGTGTTACCATGTGCTTCTCTCATGTCCCCGCTGTTGAAGTTGTTTGCAATTTATAATGTAGATTTCTAAGTATGTATGGATGGATGTTTAAATGCAGTAGCTATGTGCCGAGTGTAATGTATTCCTGTGTGGAAAGAGTTAACTGAACCATGGAGGGAACGGCATTCCTAGAGAGGTCATAAATCAAGTGTAGAGAACAAATGGACACAACGTCACTCTGGAATGCAAGAGGTGTGGACTAGTACTGATAACTCTTAGTGTGTTCGTAATGTTATGATCAGACTGTAAAGAAAGAAAGTTTACGATGTGCTGAGTGTTAAGTAGCTTCTTATGTATATAGCTGTAAAATTAAGTAGTTTATAGCCTAAAGTGGCTGTGATTGATTTGCTCCTGCCTTGCTGTGCTGCCAATGCTACTGTCATCTGCATAGTAAGCTGGAGCTGACAGATGATGTCAGAAGTGACTTTGGAACATACTGTAAGTTGCTTCTGGTGTGAGAGAATCAGCCTCCTATTAAGACATTGCCCAGGGGAAGCCCAGATGTGTTACCATCCTGTTGGAGGCTTCTCTCATGTCCCTGCGTAGGAAGCTGGAGCTGACAGATGATGTCAGAAGTGACTTGAGAACATACTGCAAGTCGCTTCTGATGTGAGAGAATCAGCTGTCTATAAAGACATTGCCCAGGGGACAGCCGAATGTGTTGCCATCCTATGGGAGGCTTCTCTCATGTTCCTGCGTAGGAAGCTGGAGCTGACAGACAGGAGCTCACCCCATCTCGTGGATTCAACCACTGACCCTCAGGTCAGCACTTCAGCTGGCACAAGGGTTTAACGCATTGGGACACCACAGCTCTTTTTCCAACATCATAAGCAGTCAATAATTTTCTAGTACACGTCTTCTACTAGATATACATTTGTTAGAACTAATTAGCCTCTCTCCCACAAAAATAATAAATTTCGAATACAAAATTATCTTCCTGGTTTGAAAGTATTATTTCCTGATTAACTGTGCGTTCCTTACATTGAAAGGAGTTGTTCTATTCCAGAAAGTTTGCATAACCCAGGCCTGGGCAAACTTGGGCCCTCCAGGTGTTTTGGACTACAACTCCCACAATTCCTAACAGCCTACCGGCTGTTAGGAATTGTGGGAGTTGTAGTCCAAAACACCTGGAGGGCCCAAGTTTGCCCAGGCCTGATATAGAAGCACAGATGGCAGTGCTGCCCATTGCAGTGATCTCAAATGAACTATATAGTCCTTTTGCATGTTGTGTTGCTGCAGAAGACCTACAAGCGATTCTAAACACCTTCGCAAAAGAATACGAGAAGCTCAGCCTGTCATTGAACATCGAGAAAACCAAAGTGCTCTTCCAGCAGTCACAAGCCAATCCCTCTCCAATGCCAGAGATACAGCTTAATGGTGTAACATTAGAAAATGTTGACCATTTCCGCTCCCTTGGCAGCCACCTCTCCACCAATGTCAACATTGACACCGAAATACAACACCGCCTGAGCTCTGCGAGTGTAGCATTTTTCCAAATGAAGCAGAGAGTGTTTGAGGACCGGGACATCCGTAGGGATACCAAGGTGCTTGTTTATAAAGCTATTGTCCTCCCAACCCTGCTATATGCCTGCGAAACGTGGACTGTCTACAGACGTCACATGCAACTCCTGGAACGATTCCATCAGCGCTGCCTCCGGAAAATCCTGCAAATCTCTTGGGAAGACAGGCGGACAAATGTCAGCGTGCTGGAAGAAGCAAAGACCACCAGCATTGAAGCGATGGTCCTCCGCCATCAACTCCGCTGGACTGGCCACGTTGTCCGGATGCCCGATCATCGTCTCCCAAAGCAGTTGCTCTACTCCAAACTCAAGAACGGAAAACGGAGTGTTGATGGGCAGGAAAAGAGATTTAAAGATGGCCTCAAAGCCAACCTTAAAAACTCTGGCATAGACACTGAGAACTGGGAAGCCCTGGCCCTTGAGCACTCTAGCTGGAGGTCAGCTGTGACCAGCAGTGCTGTAGAATTTGAAGAGGCACAAATGGAGGGCGAAAGAGAAAAACGTGCCAAGAGGAAGGCGCATCACTCCAACCCTGACCGGGACCGCTTCCACCTGGAAACCGATGCCCTCACTGCGGGAGAACATGCGAGTCAAGGATAGGGCTCCATAGTCACCTACCGGGCCATCCTGGAGGACTATCCTACTCGGACAACGAGGGATCGCCTAAGTAAGTAAGTGCTGCAGAAAAACAAGCCAAGCAATACAACAAATGTCTTCACTCCCCATTGTATTTGCACCCCTCTAGATCTGTGCCCAAACACTTGTGAAGGGATGCAACTCACCCCTGTGACGGCTTCCTCCAACAGCCTTTTCAACATGGGGCTGGCAGAGAACTTGAAATCCCGCGATCCTGTGGAACGAGATCCAGAAGCATGAGTGCCATGAGTTCTCCCCAGAGAAATCAGGTCAACAACATCCCTCCTCGCCTTCAGGAGGAAACTGAAAACGTAGTTATGGGGCAAGGTCTTTGGGAAGCTTGCAGATAATTGACAATGACGAAGATGATAATGTTATGGAAAATGTACTATGGAAAGGCTTCCCATTGTATTGCGTTCGCTGAATTCGTTTCTAGACAAAGCTAGACCTTTTAGCTTTAAATAATATTTTAAACTAATTTAATGTATTATTCATGTGTAATTGCTGTATGTATTGGCATCGAATTGTGCTGGCTGTAAGCCACCCTGAGTTGTTTGATTGTTTTTGGCACTGAACGTTGGCCATTTTTTTTTTTGAATAAATTTTTATTAAGATATTTAGTAATTACAACGAAAGAGGGGGAACATTTGGGAGAAGATAGAACAGTAAGAAAGAAAAAGAGAAGAAAAAAAAACCAAAAAAAACCCGAGTAAATAAAAAAAGGTTTGACTTCCATCTCATCCTCAGGTGTTGTGTCTTCTAAATAATTCCATTATTGTCCCTTTAAAATAGTTCTCTTATTTACTTTTCCTTTCTTTCTCGTAACTATCAAAAAGAGTCCAATCTGTCCTCTTTATCGGATTTCCGGTGTTTTTTTTCAGAAAAAAAGTTAATTCATCCATCTCTCTTATTTCTCTAATTTTCCCTAACCATTCTTCCGTGGTAGGAATACTATCTTGTTTCCAAATCTTTGCCAAAGCTATCCTCGCTGCTGTCGTAATATAGGTGAAAAGTCTGTCCTCATTCTCCTGTAATTTTAATTCCAAGTCTGTAAAACCTAATAAGTAATATTCAGGTTTCTTCTTAAATATTCTTTTCAAGATTTTTTGTGTTTCTTCATGAATCATAGACCAATATTTCACTATTTCTTTACATGTCCACCACATATGATAAAAGGTGCCTGTCTGTTGGCAGCCCTTCCAACATTTGTCAGAAGAATTTTTATTTATTAAAGATAATTTCTTAGGTGTGGTATACCATCTGTGGAACATTTTTATCCAGTTTTCCTTTAGATCCGTTGCATACACATATTTTAACTTTTTGTTCCACATCTGTTCCCACTCTTTAAATTGAATAGGTCTTCTAATATTTTCTGCCCATTTTATCATACATGATTTCACTTGTTCGCTTTCCGTAAGCCAGGTTAAAAGTATGTTGTAAATAACTGAAATTACTTTTTTCTTTGCCTTTAAGACTTTATCCCAGATCGATTCTTCCCAGGAGAAGCCTATCTTACTATCTTGTTTAATATACTCTTTCATTTGTAAATAGTGTAACCATGTCATATTAGCATTCTTTTCTCTTAATTGCTGATAGGGCTTGATTTCAGCTGTATTTTCTATTAAGATATCTTTATATGTTGGCCATACTCTCCAGCCTAACAGTCTTCGTTGGTGGGCCTCCATTGGAGAAATCCAGAGTGGCGTTTTATTATAAAAATAATTCTTATATTTCAGCCACACTCTCAACAGAGATGCTCTCACAAAATGATTTCCAAAGGTTTTTCTTTTTTCTCTCTGTCATACCACGTGTAGGCATGCCAGCCTACACGCAAATCATGACCCTCTAAATTCAAACCTTTTTCATTATCTAGTAGCATCCAGTCTTTAATCCACAAGAGAGCACTTGCTTCATGATATGTTTTTAAGTCTGGGAATCCTAGTCCGCCCCTTGTTTTTTTATCAATTAAGTTTAGATATTTAATTCTAGGTCTCTTTCCATTCCAGACAAATTTCATCAATTCTTTATTCCATTTTTTAAAGATTGTCTGGTTTCTAATTACAGGTATATTTTGAAATAAAAACAGTAGTTTTGGTAGTACATTCATTTTGACTAGTGATATTCTTCCTAATAAAGACAATTTCAGAAAATTCCAGTTCTTAAGATCTTTCTGTATCTTACTCCATACCAGTTCGTAGTTATTCTTCATCAATTGTCCATTTTTTGCCGTTATCCAAATTCCCAAATATTTTAATTTTTTGACGATTTCCATTCCTGTAGCCAAGGCTATTTTCTCCTGGTTTTCCTTCTTTACATTCTTAGTTAAAATTTTTGTTTTCCTTTTATTCACTTTGAAACCTGCCACTTTTCCAAACTCTTGTATTTTCTTTAACCAATTCTGGAGGTTATTTATTGGGTCTTCCACAATTGTGGAACGTTGGCCATTTTTGTTACACTTTGGAAGCAGCCCTGAGTCCCTTCAGGGAGAGACGGCGGGTGATAAAGTATTAATAATAATGACTATTACCTGTAACGGCAGAATCCAAGTTGATATAAGCAAAGGCCTTCAAATGAAGCGAGGAAGAATAGCCCTGAAGAGAAAGAGAAAAGACAGTGGCGATCAGCTCTCCGGATAATTCAGCAAACGAGTCACAGCTCTAAACCAACTTGTGAAATCTATGGACCTGATCCCACGCAACAAAACCAGCATTTCTACACAGCGTTTCTGCCATTATCTCTGTGTAAACCACTTTGAGTTTACACAGGGGGCAAGAAAAGTGGTACATATAAATCTATATAAATAAAAATGTAATGTTCGTTTGTGGGCGAATTGACACCAAACTTGGACACAAGACACCTAACAACCCAATGTATGTCCTTCACTCAAAAAAAAAAATTGATTTTGTCATTTGGGAGTTGTAGTTGCTGGGATTTATAGTTCACCTACAATCAAAGAGCATTCTGAACCCCACCAACGATGGAATTGAACCAAACTTGGCACACAGTTCTCCCATGACCAACAGAAAATACTGAGGGGTTTGGTGGGCAGTGTCCTTTGGTTTTGGAGTTGTAGTTCACCTACATCCAGAGATCACTGTGGACTCAAACAATGATGGATCTGGACCAAACTCTACACAAATACTCAATATGCCCAAATGTGAACACTGGTGGAGTTTGGGGAAAATAGAATCTTGACATTTGGGAGTTGTAGTTGCTGGGATTTATAGTTCACCTACAATCACAGAGCATTCTGAACCCCACCAACGACAGAATTGGGCCAAACCTCCCACACAGAACCCCCATGTGGGCCACAGCAATGCGTGGCACGGGACGGCTAGTACTGTAAATAAATCTCTATAAATAAAAATGTAATGTTCGTTTGTGGGATTAACATAACTCAAAAACCACTGGATGAATTGACACCAAATTTGGATACAAGACACCTATCAGGCCAACGAGTGACCATCACTCACAAAAACACTGAAAAACACAGAAGAAGATATTTAAAAGGCCAAAAAAGCAAAAAGATGCTACAGTGCATGCACAAAAACAACTCCCCCTGGCAAACAAAACACACAAAAGCATATGCACACTCTCTTCTGGACTACAGCGCCCAGCATCCCCTAGACCAGGCCCTTTAGGAGAGGAGGAGGATCCAAATGCACTGCTTCCAAGATGCAAGCTTTCTTCTCCTTGGATCTCTTTGAGAGCATCCCAATCCCTGCATATTTCCAATTTCCTATTCCTGGACTGCAACTCCCAGCAATCCTCCAGATAGATAAGATAGCTAGGTAGATCAGGAGGACTGCTGGGAGTTGCAGTCCAAGAATAGGTAGAGAAGGGAGAAAGGGGAGAAAGGGGAAGGGAAAGAAAAGGGGGAAAGGAAAGGAAAATGAAGAGAAGGAAGGAGAGAATAAGAAAAAAAGGGAAGGAAGGAAAGAGGGAGGAAAGGAAGGAAGGAAAGAAAGGAGAGAAAGAGGAAGGTTGGCCACAGGAACACATGGCGGGTGCAGCTAGTAAATAAATACATTTAAGGAGTTGCTACCGACGGATCCCATCACACAACGCAAGATCATACTGTTGGTTTCAACTATTTCACCATGTCTAAAGTGCAGTTTCCCCCCCAACGATTCCTAAGTCGATAAGTAATCAAGTTTATTTTGAATTCCTTGGGTAGAGACAAGTAAAAACATCAACTTTCATGTGTGATGGGAATTCCCCATTGTCCGCTTACAAACATAATGAGGAGATTGCTTTGGAGGGAGAAGCTGAGATGGCCAGTATGATAAAGATAGGAGTGGTCAGAGCTAGTCTACGAGCGAGAGAGAGACGTTCCTAATTACCACTAGCGGTGGAAAAAAGGAACTGGGGCGGTAGCCACTCCCACTGGATATATATACCATCAAGGGGAGAGTGTATGGGCCCAAAATGTATCTCTGAGAGCTTCTGGAGTTCCGAAACCACTGCGGAGGCACAGGCGACCCATATGTGTGCATTTTACAGCCTGAAGAAGAGAAGGCTGAGAGGAGATATGATAGCCATGTATAAATATGTGAGAGGAAGCCACAGGGAGGAGGAAGTGAACTTGTTTTCTGCTTCCCTGGAGACTAGGACGCAAGGGAACAATGGCTTCAAACTACAAGAAAGGAGATTCCACCTGAACATGAGGAAGAACTTCCTGACTGTGAGAGCCGTTCAGCAGTGGAACTCTCTGCCCTGGAATGTGGTGGAGGCTCCTTCTTTGGAAGCTTTTAAACAGAGGCTGGATGGCCATCTGTCAGGGGTGATTTGAATGCAACATTCCTGCTTCTTGGCAGAATGGGGTTGGACTGGAAGGCCCATGAGGTCTCTTCCAACTCTTTGATTCTAGGATTCTATACAGGGACCACGTAGAAGAAAAATAAAGTATGGAACGCACATGTTGCAATCCCAGGTGACACCAGAATTGACAGGAAGCAACTGGAAAAGCTGACACAATATGAGGATTTAAAGATCGAACTGCAAAGACCTTGGCGCAAGCCAGTGTGATCGGCACACTGGGTGCAGTGCCTAAAGACCTTGGCTTGCACTTAAAAACAATCAACGTTGACAATCTGTCAGCTGCGAAAAGGCTACCCTACTCAGAGATCTCAATGCATTTTCACCGATACATCACACAATCCTAGACACTTGGGAAGTGTCCAACATGTGATTAAATACAAAAGCTACCAGAGTGTTGTGTATCAAATAATAATAATAATAATAATAATAATAATAACATCACACAGTCCTAAATGCTTGAGAAGTGTTCGACTTGTGATTTTGAGATACGAAATCCAGCATATAGATCTCGTTTGCTGTGACATACTGTGTTTTTGTGTCAGTAAAATAATAATAATAATAATAATAATAATAATAATAATAATAATAATAATAATAATAGGATATCACATTAAAAAGTGCTACTGTGAGAAAAAAACAAAGGGGATTTTTTATATCAAAAGAAAATGGGGGAGGGTACATTGGGAGCAGAAATATGTCTCCCGTGAGATGGAAAGGCAAACAGATAATTTTTGAAAGAAAGCAGAACGAAGGAAAACATGTGATGAGAGTAGGAAAACTGGGTTGTTGTAGGTTTTTGGGGCTGTATGGCCATGCTCTAGAAGCATTCTCTCCTGACGTTACGCCTGCATCTATGGCAGGCATCCTCAGAGGTTGTGAGGTCCAAACAGGGTGTTGCAAAGCTTAAGGAAAAAACAACTATCCCCAATGCTTTATTTATCACGTGGGATGAGGTCCTATAAGGAGCCTCCGGTGGCGCAGTGGTTAAACCCCTGTGCCAGCAGGATTGAAGACTGACAGGTCGCAGGTTCGAATCTGGGGAGAGGCGGTAGAGCTCCCTTCTACCAGCTCCAGCTCCTCATGCGGGGGCATGAGAGAAGCCTCCCACAAGGATGATAAAAACATCAAATCATCCGGGCGTCCCCTGGGCAACGTCCTTGCAGACGGCCAATTCTCTCACACCAGAAGCGACTTGCAGTTTCTAAAGTCTCTCCTGACACAACAACAACAAAAAAAAAAAGTCCTATAAGCCATGAAAGAAAGGCAACTTCAGATCAGTCAGTACCTCCAGCCATTCAGTTGCACCAACAGATCCGAAATCTCCAGCACTCCAGCTTGCAAACACGACGCTACGGCGAGGTTTGTACCCATCTGTGGATATTAGAAGAGACAACGGTTATGTTCTGCTCTCAATGAAGGCCGTGCCACAAGGACACCTTTTTGGATAGACATGTGTCAAGGTCCCACTTGCATCACAAGTACGGTTGGCGGGGACGAGAGACAGGGCCTTCTCAGTGGTGGCCCCTTGAATAGGCAGTGTAACTAATATAGAAATATGGAACAATTGGATGACAAGACTGGATCTTGATTTTAACTATGAGACGATATGAGATGTTGATGCTTATTGATTGTTATAAGTGTTTATCCTTTCATCCCCTGGTGGCGCAGTGGGTTTAACCCCTGTGCCGGCAGGACTGAAGACCGACAGGTCGCAGGTTCGAATCCGAGGAGAGGCGGATGAGCTCCCTCTATCAGCTCCAGCTCCTCATGCGGGGACATGAGAGAAGCCTCCCACAAGGATGATAAAACATCAAATCATCCAGGCGGCCCCTGGGCAACGTCCTTGTAGATTGCCAATTCTCTCACACCAGGAGTCACTCCTGACACGACCAAAAAAATCCTTTTAAATGCTTCTTATCTGTTTTTATCATGTTTTATGTATTGTATTGTGGTTGTGAACCGCTCTGAGTCGCCCTGAGGGCTGAGAAGAGCGGTATAAAAATGTAGTAAATAAATAAATAAGGTACCCTTACCTATTTTCACCATGTCAGACAAGGCGCGGGCAAGTTCCAGTAAGAGGGCTGTTCCGACACCGGCCTTGGCTGCTCCGGGCCCCCAGGAATCACGCTGGGCTCCAAGCACAACGTACCGATCTGCAAGGCAAAAAAGGGATGCGTATCAACATCATTTCTCAATCCTTTCGGACTCTGTAGCCATCTTGGGCTCTCTTGCAGGCCTGGGCCAACTTTGGCCCTCCCATTGTTTTGGACTTCAACTTCCACAATTCCTAACACCCTACCTAATCAACAATACAGGCTTATTTATTCATTTATTTATCGTGTCATCCGCAACCAGAACATTGTATTACATTTCTAACAGAACAAAACAAACAAACAAAAAAAAAACCACAGATTTTGCAAGCTTGGTAGTTGATTAAATGTCCTTTGACCAGTATCTGGCCCCTTGGAGTGCCTCTGGTGTTGCTCCAAGAAGGTCCTCCATTGTGCATGTGGCAGGGCTCAGGGTGCATTGCAGCAGGTGGTCAGTGGTTTGCTCTTCTCTGCACTCGCATGCCGTGGATTCCACTTTGTAGCCCCATTTCTGAAGGTTGGCTCTGCATCTCGTGGTGCCAGAGCGCAGTCTGTTCTGCGCCTTCCAAGTCGCCCAGTCTTCTGTATGCCCAGGGGGGAGTCTCTCATCTGGTATCACCCACGGATTGAGGTGCTGGGTTTGAGCCTGCCACTTTTGGACTCTCGCTTGCTGAGGTGTTCCAGCGAGTGTCTCTGTAGATCTAAGAAAACTATGTCTTGATTTAAGTCATTGACGTGCTGGCTGATACCCAAACAAGGGATGAGCTGGAGATGTCTCTGCCTTGGTCCTTTCACTATTGGCTGCTACTTCCCGGCGGATGTCAGGTGGTGCAATACCGGCTAAACAGTGTAATTTCTCCAGTGGTGTAAGGCGCAGACAACCCGTGATAATGCGGCATGTCTCAACCCTAGTTGCCATAGGGTTGGAAAGTGTGTGACTTGTCCAAAATCTCCCAGTGTGTTTCCATGGCTAAACAGGGATTTTGTTGCACTCCAGGTCAGGAAAAAGCCCCCTGACTTTAAAACACACCACGCGAAGAGTGAAGAAACAAATCTTTTTTTATTGAAGTGTAGTAAATAGCCCAAAGAAATAAATGCTTGTAAGAAAATAAGAAGGTTCCAAAAAGTAGTAAGTCCATACAAAGCTGTAACACAAAACAATGTCTACACAAGAAATAAAAGCAATCCAATGCAGCATTAATCCAGACAGGAATCAAACAGGATGCAAAGACAATCCAAGGCTAAAAACTCCACAGGAACAAGACCCCTTGAACAGGATTTCCATGGCACGTGAACTTGATTTCCAAACGATGCCTGATCTAACAGGTTTCCCCTTGAGGCAAACCTTATATCCCAAAACTCAGAAATTGGTTTCGCTTTCCCCCACATTTACCCCTTATCAGACAAAGCCTTTCGGAGCGACGTAAACACTGAGTTTGCTGTCGATCCTGGCTAACTCCAGCCACCTATTCTTCAGCTCCCTATCTGGCTGCTCATTAAAACTCCCAGGTGTCAGATTGTTTTCCATACCTAAATCTTGAGAGCTCACAGAGAGAATCAGTGAACCATCATTGCTAGGCCCGGCAGGAATATTCTCATGAGAAACTGCCCTTTGCACTGGGGCCTCTCTGTCACTGTCTGCCTGAAAATCATTGACCAAACCATCTCCATCTTGGACCTCGGCCTCGGCACCATCATTTTCCCTTATCAGGATCCTGAAACACACACAGACTGATTCCCAACAGATTTGAACTCTGGCTTCCAAATTCACAGACCAATGCCCAAACCACTACACCACAAAGATGTTCATAATCTCAATTTCACATGTGATTAATTCGTTCATTTTTTTAAAAGCTTCTGTATTTGCCTTGTTTTTAAATTCATTATTTATTTATTTATTTATTTATTTCGTGCATTTCTACCCCGCCCTTCTCAACCCCCGAGGGGGGACTCAGGGCGGCTTACAGAAGGCACAATTCGATGCCAGCAATACAATAGTAAGATAAAATATATATCAGCAACAATTAAAACAATTAAAACAATCCAGTTATACAACACAACTAATAAAAATCAATCTAATGATCAACGTTCGCCAACTTCAAAATCCGTAAGTTCATTCCCCATTGTCATAATCCTATTCAATTCTAGTCATCATTGTCCTTTATCTGTCTGCCAGATTACCCAAAGGCCTGGTCCATGTTTTTAGTTTCCTTCTAAACGAGAGGAGGGATGTCGATGACCTAATTTCCCCAGGAAGAGAATTCCACAGGCAAGGGGCCACCAACGAGAAGGCCCTGCTCCTTGTCCCCTCCAATCTCACTTGTGATAGCGGTGGGGCCGAGAGCAGGGCCTCCCCAGAAGATCTTAAACTCCGAGGCAGGTTGGGTTGGACTAGCTGGATTTTGGGGGACCCATCCCATGCTCGGATTCTATGAAAACAGTAGGACGCTGGTTTCACTCAGAAATGCTTGCAGCTCCAATACTATTCGTCTGGTGCATGAATCTCCATTCCCCAGACCTCAGACCAGCCCCAGCTGCACAGCACAAGGGTGTACAGTGTTCCCTCACTACTTCGCGGTTCACTTTTCACGGACTCACTGTTTTAAGGTTTTCCTTCCTTGCTACTCACCGGGTCGAGTCCTGGTTATGCCACGCAGCCCGGTGAGGAGTGACTGAGCAAGGGCAGCAAAAGCAGAAGCAGAGGCAGAAACAGGAGCCCTTGCTCGCTCGCTCGCTCGACGGGCCAACTCCTGGTTCTGCCACCAGGACCCAGCCTAGTGAGTAGTGAGGGAGGGAGGGCAGGTAAGCGAGCAAGGAAGTGTAATGACTTTTCAATGACTTTAAAGCATAGGTTCTTTTAATTGCAATTTTCAGTGTGAGAGGGTATATCAGACAAACATTTAGACATATGGATTCTGTGCAACAACATTGGATTTACAATTACATAGCTAACAAACAAACAAAGGGGAATTACATTTTCACTCAATATTCACACACATGTACATGCATTCATCCTCATGGAAACAAATATTCTCCCTCCTTGGAGAAGCACCTGTTAGGGAAGACCGTGATTTCCTGCAGCCTGCCAACGTAAAGTTCCATAACGCCAAAACTTCAAAACACCGAAATGCCAAGGACCAGATCTGTTTTCCATACAGCAGAACCTGACTCCCTGCACAAAATCCAAGACTCCAAAAGCGCACTTCTTCTTCCCTTGAGAAAGAAGCCTCAAAGTGACCAGACTGCTCCCTTGCAAATCTGCCACTCTCCAAATACACTATCTCTTTCCTTCCCATGCAGCAGAGCATAGCCGGTGGAACAGACTCCTCAGGTCTGCCACACTTTGAGCATTATTAGACCGAGTCTTTTATAGGAATATTCTGCTGATGTCATCCCAAAATTTTAAATTAATGATAGACATCTTCCATCCTGGCTCCATCTCAGTTTCCTGGCCAGATGTTGATTCTTCTTGATTGGTATTGATCTTATGCAGCCAGGTTAATAACTGGGGCGGTATATAGGGAGCATACAACTCCCATGTTACGCCAGTTCCACTGGCTGCCAGTTTGCTACCGGGCACAATTCAATTTTACATTTATCAAATCTGCACCTTAAATTTTTGTGACAGGAGGGCGGCAAAGGCGGAAGCAGCAGCAGAAGAGATTGCCAGGCTCCTGCTTCTGCTGCTGCCCTTGCTGTTCTCGCTCACTCACCCGCCCTCTCTCGCTTGCTCACTCTCCGGGCCGGGTCCCAGATGGAGAACCAAGACTCAGCACAGTGAGTAGAAAGCGGGGAGGTGAGCGAGTGAGAAGGGTGGACATCGGGATTGTGGCGCAGTTGGCTGAGTGTCAGCTGCATTAAGGTCACTCTGACCAAAAGGTCATGAGTTCAAAGCCAGCCCGCGTTGGAGTGGGTTTCCAACCAATTGTGTAGCCTGTTGTCGACCTTTGCAACCCGAAAGACAGTTGCATCTGTCAAGTAGGAAAATTAGGTACCACCTTAATGTGGGGAGGCTAAATTAACTAATTTATGAGGCCATAAAAAAAGACTCCAGCAAAAGCACTCCAGCAAAAGCATGCGGGGAATGCGGAAGTACTTCATCAGTGTCGCAGATGGACGATGAAAGCGACAGCTCCCCTGGCGGCCAGAAAAAGTTAAATAGCCTCTGTGTATGTCTGTATATGTTGTATGTCAAAAATTGGCATTGAATGTTTGCCATATATGTGTACACTGTAATCCGCCCTGAGTGAGAAGAGCGGAACATAAATGCTGTAAATAAATAAATAAATAAATAAATAAGGGTGGCAACAACAACAGCGGCTGCAGAACCAGGAGCCTAGCTGCCTCTTCCAGGCTCCGACATCCCTACTGTGCGGATTTTCATTTTTCGTGGGTGGTCCTGGAACGTAAATACCCGCGATAATTGAGTCGACACTGTACTTACCTGGTTCCACAAAGCCTTTGATAATGCCGAATATGTTGAGGATTTTCTTCTCCACAAGCTCATTCCTGACTTGGAGCTTCACGCTTCTCCCGCTTCCAGTTGAGCCGAACCTGTAGGTGACTCCCATGGTGCCTGTCCATGGTGATGGACACACTGGCCCATTCATAACACTGGGAACAGAAACCAGAAGCAGTGTTCATAGAATCATAGAATCAAAGCGTTGGAAGAGACCTCAGGGGTCATCCAGTCCAACCCCATTCTGCCAAGAAGCAGGAATATTGCATTCAAATCACCCCTGACAGATGGCCACCCAGCCTCTGTTTAAAAGCTTCCAAAGAAGGAGCCTCCACCACACTCCGGGGTAGAGAGTTCCACTGCTGAACGGCTCTCACAGTCAGGAAGTTAACCCTTTGAAACTTCATGCGCAAGACCTCCTTGTGAATTCACACGGGACTGGTGAATTACATAAATAAAAATTATTTCGCCAATACTGTAGCAGGCATGGCCCAACTTCCGCCCTCCAGATGTTTTGGACTGCAACTCCCACAATTCTTAATACCCATAGTGTTAGTATGTTATTATTATATTTACTAGCTGTCCCCTGCCACACTTTGCTGTGGCCCAGTCTGTGTTTATAATAATAATAATAATAATAATAATAATAATAATAATCCTTTATTTATACCCCGCTAACATCTCCCGAAGGACGGCTTACAAGAGGCCGAGGCCCAACATATAAAAAAAACAACAGCATAACAAATACAACAATAAATGAACTCATAAAACAGGCAATAAACATTAAAACAATAGCAATTAACATTAAACAATGACACTATGACACATTTAAAACTAAGACCGGGCCAATGTAATGATTAAAAATGTTAAAATGCTGGGCATGACAGGTGAAATAGATAGGATTTTGGAAATAAGTGTGATGTGTAGACAATCTTAAATCTCTAGTAAAGTGCATTTGGGACATGATGCTTGGAGTTTCCTATTCTGGGAAGGCACACTGGAACAGCCAGGTCTTCAAGCTCTTCCTAAAGACTGCCAATGTTGGGTCTTGTCTGATGTCCTTGGGGAGAGAGTTCCAGAGTCGGGGGGCCACCACGGAGAAGGCCCTGTCCCTCGTCCCCACCAATTGCGCTTGCGACGTAGGTAGGATCGTGAGCAGGGCCTCTGCAGATGATCGGAGAGATCGTGTGGGTTCATATACAGAGATGCGGTCACGCAGGTAGACGGGTCCCAAACCGTTTAGGGCTTTGTAGATAAGCACCTGCACCTTGAATTGGGCTCGGAAGATAAACGGCAGCCAGTGGAGCTCCTTAAACAGGAGGGTTAACATCCTGTCCGCTGTCCGTTGGATAAGTTGGAATTTCCAAGCCGTTTTCAAGGGCAGCCCTACGTAGAGCGCATTACAGTAGTCCAGTCTAGAGGTGACCAAGGCATGGACCACCCCGGCCAGAACAGCCTTTGCGAGGTACGGTCGCAGCTGGCGCACAAGTCTCAATTGCGCAAATTGCGCAATTGCCACCGCCGACCCCTGAGCCTCAAGCGTGAGCGATGAATCCAAGAGGACTCCCAAACTGCAGACCTGTGACTTCAGGGGGAGTGCAACCCCGTCCAACACAGGTTGCCACCCTATACCCCGATCCAGTTTACGATCGACCAGGAGGACCTCTGTCTTGTCGGGATTGATCATTCCAGCTTGTCAATATCTCTCTTCAATTGTGGTGCCCAGAATTTGTACACAATATTCCAGGTGTGGTCTAGCCAAGGCAGAATAGAGCATGGGGAGCATGACTTCCCTGGATTTACTTGATTTTAATGCCTTTCTTTTTTGACTAAATAACCATCCCAAAATTAGGGTGCACATTAGATTCGCGGGATATGGTAAATACTGTTCTGGGTTTCAGGATTTTAAAATTTGATGTGCGCATTAAATTCAATGGCGCATAAGACTCGAGTAAAGACTTGAGAAATACACAAATATTAAAACAGGATTAAATATAAACAGTGTTTTTAAAATTCCTAGTTAAAGACCATCAAAACATATTCTCAGTTAAAAGTTACATGGATTTGCAAAATATTTGATAAACCTAGCAGAGTGGAGCCTTCATTTCAGAAAATAAAAATACTGTTACCTAAATAATTTCCTTGCAGCAGAGCTGGAAATGGTTTGGACGGGGATGCGCGGGAGTCCCGAAGATTCAACTGGAGGGAACTGGGTATGGTTGAAAGATGGGAAGCCGGGGGTGTAAGGGTCGCCAGTCCCAAGATGTGCCTGCAAGAGAGGAGAAAAGAGCAAAATGATCAAGGGTCTGGAGAACAAGCCCTATGAGGAGCGGCTTAAGGAGCTGGGCATGTTTAGCCTGAAGAAGAGAAGGCTGAGAGGAGATATGATAGCCATGTATAAATATGTGAGAGGAAGCCACAGGGAGGAGGGAGCAAGCTTGTTTTCTGCTTCCCTGGAGATTAGGACGCAATGGAGCAATGGCTTCAAACTACAAGAGAGGAGATTCCATCTGAAGAACTTCCTGACTGTGAGAGCCGTTCAGCAGTGGAACTCTCTGCCCCGGAGGGAGTGTGGTGGAGGCTCCTTCTTTGGAAGCTTTGAAACAGAGGCTGGATGGCCATCTCTCAGGGGTGATTTGAATGCAATATTCCTGCTTCTTGGCAGAATGGGGTTGGACTGGATGGCCCAGGAGGTCTCTTCCAACTCTAGGATTCTGATTCTATGAAAACTGGAGACCGGAAGCACCAGAACTAATAGCAGCCCATCTTAGAGTGGCCACAACTACCGAGAGAGCAGTGTGATAAGTATAATGTACGGATTGATTAAAATTCAATTTATTTATTTATTTATTTATTTATTTATTGTGTCAGGAGCAAAACAAACAGTTGTATTGCATTTTTAAACAAACAAACAAACACACAAAGTTTGCAAGCTTGGTAGTTGTGCCAGAGCGCAGTCTGTTCAGCGCCTTCCAAGTCTCCCAGTCTTCTGTGTGCCCAGGGGGGAGTCTCTCATTTGGTATCAGCCATTGATTGAGGTTCTGGGTTTGAGCCTGCCACTTTTGGACTCTCGCTTGCTGGGGTGTTCCAGCGAGTGTCTCTGTAGATCTTAGAAAACTATGTCTTGATTTAAGTCGTTGACATGCTGGCTGATACCCAAACAGGGGATGAGCTGGAGATGTCTCTGCCTTGGTCCTTTCATTATTGGCTGCTACTTCCCGGCGGATGTCAGGTGGTGCAATACTGGCTAGACAATGTAATTTTCCAGTGGTGTAGGGCGCAGACACCCCGTGATAATGCGGCATGTCTCATTAAGAGCCACATCTACTGTTTTAGTGTGGTGAGATGTGTTTCACACTGGGCATGCGTACTCAGCAGCAGAGTAGCATAACGCAAGGGCAGATGTCTTCACTATGTCTGGTTGTGATCCTCAGGTTGTGCCAGTCAGTGTTACACACTGGGTATGTGTACTCAGCAGCAGAGGAGCATAGCGCAAGGGCAGATGTCTTCACTGTGTCTGGTTGTGATCTCCAGGTTGTGCCAGTCATCAGTTATCAGAGTGATCCAGTATTTCTGTCTTCTCAAATAATATTCTGTGTTCAGGTTGGTTCATCAGGTGCTCTGCTATGGCTGCTTTCTCTGGTTGAATTAGCCTGGAGTGCCTTTCATTCGTGTTTGGGCATTGTTGTGTTTGGAGACTTCTTGTCCACAGGTACATGGTGGTATACAGTAAGATACCTGCAGAGGTTTAAAACCTTTTAAATATTTAAAAAGTATTCATGACAGCGGCAGCGTATACTTACATGTCCAAACAAAGAGACGTCTTCTCTAAGGTTCCTGAAGTCAGCAGGATCCGGGTAGATCAACACTCCCGCAGCGCCCCACTTCTTGCCATTGGCCACCTAAAGGAGGGAGGCACATGGGAGCTGTCACTGGCAAAGCATTTTTGGGAAGGCAACAAGAAGGCCACACGCATTAGAGCCTCAAGTACAAGGCGAGATCTGGTCCAGAATGAAGACAGAGGGGGGCAGAAGACAGTTCCATCTTGTCTCCTGTGCTTAGAAACCTTTAAAAAGGACCTTAAAACCTGGCTCTTCCGCTGCGCTTTTGATGAATAGGTTTACATTCTCACACTATTGCTTAGCCTCAACGTTTTGTCATTGGAGTATATGTTCCCCCCGCTTTGTGGGAAAGCCTGATTCCACAACCCGCACTATAATGAGTCCTGCTCCGCAAATAATCTGTCTCTCTCTTATCTCGTCTGAGTTTTAATTAGTTTTAATCAGTCTCTCTTTTAATGATTACATGTAGCCCGCCCATTGTCATTGTGATTGTGCCTATTGTAATTTTATATTGCTACTAGCCGTCCCCTGCCACACGTTGCTGTGGCCCACATGGGGGTTCTGCGTGGGAAGCTTGGCCCAATTCTATCGTTGGTGGGGTTCAGAATGCTCTTTGATTGTAGGTGAACTATAAATCCCAGCAACTACAACTCCCAAATGTCAAGATTCTATTCCCCCCAAACTCCACCAGTGTTTACATTTGGGCATATTTAGTATTCGTGTAGAGTTTGGTCCAGATCCATCATTGTTTGAGTCCACAGTGATCTCTGGATGTAGGTGAACTACAACTCCCAAACTCAAGGTCAATGCCCACCAAACCTTCCAGTATTTTCTGTTGGTCATGGGAGAACTGTGTGCCCAGTTTGGTTCAATTCCATTGGTGGGTTCAGAATGCTCTGTGATTGTAGGTGAACTATAAATCCCAGCAACTACAACTCCCAAATGTCAAGATTCTATTTTCCCCCAAACTCCACCAGTGTTCACATTTGGGCATATTGAGTATTCGTGTAGAGTTTGGTCCAGATCCATCATTGTTTGAGTCCACAGTGATCTCAGGATGTAGGTGAACTACAGCTCCCAAACTTTGGTTGAGTCCACACTGTTCTCTAGATGTAGGTGAACTACAACTCCCAAACTCAAGGTCAATGCCCACCAAACACTTCCAGTATTTTCCATTGGTCATGGGAATTCTGTGTGCCAAGTTTGGTTCAATTCCATCTTTGGAGGAGTTCAGAATACTCTTCGACTGTAGGTGAACTATAAATCCCAGCAACTACTACTCCAAATGTCAAGGTCTATTTCCCCCAAACTCCACCAGTGTTCACATTTGGGTAGATTGAGTCTTTGTGCCAAGTTTGGTCCATTGTTTGAATCCACAGTGCTCTCTGGATGTAGGTGATCTACAACTCCTAAACCCAAGGTCAACGCCCACCAAACCCTTCCGAAATGACAAAATCAATTTTTTTGAGTGAAGGACATACATTGGGTTGTTAGGTGTCTTGTGTCCAAATTTGGTGTCAATTCATCCAGTGGGTTTTGAGTTCTGTTAATCCCACAAACGAACATTACATTTTTATTTATATGGATTACCCCTCTTTTGTTGCATATTTAATCAAAATATGCAAAACTGGAAGAGCAGCAAAGGTTCACACCTGCCTTAGACAAACTGTGCCTGAAAGCTTTCTTTGGAAGGCTTGTCATCTCTCGTTGAGCCATAGTTTGCGTTGCGCTACAACTGTGTGTTGTGCAAGAAAGCTAATTATGTAATATGGCATTTCCAACCACTTATAGCACATTGTAAGCATACCTTTTCAGCAAAAGGAATCTCTCCAGCTCGGACCAAGACCACTGATCCAGATATGTTGGGGATACGCGTCAGCAGTTCACGGAAGTCCTCGTCACGGCCGTAATTGGCATACACCGGCTTTCCCTAAAAGAGAAAACAATTGGAACATCTCTAAGCGAACTGGGGGCGTGTCGCTTAACACTACATATCTTTTGACTGTGGATGACCAATATTTTGGGGAACTTCTCCACATGTTGATGGAGTACAGAATACTCTTTGATTGAACTATTAATCCCAGCAATAGCAACTCCCAAATGACAAAACCACATTTGCATGTTTTCGAACTGCTAGGCTGGCAGAAGCTGGGGCTAACAGTGGGAGCTCACCCCTCTCAATTCCATTATAGATGGAGTACAGAATGCTTTCTGATTGTAGGTAAACTATAAATCCCAGCAACTGCAACTCCCAAATAACAAAACCACATTTGCATGTTTTCGAACTGCTAGGCTGTCAGAAGCTGGGGCTAACGGTGGGAGCTCACCAAGCTCAATTCCATCATTGGTGGAGTACAGAATGCTCTTTGATTGTAGGTGAACTATAAATCCCAGCAACTACAACTCCCAAATGACAAATATATTTGAATGTTTTTGAACTGCTAGGTTGGCAGAAGCTGGGGCTAACAGTGGGAGCTCACTCCACTCAATTCCATCATTAATGGACTACAGAATGCTCTTTGATTGTAGGTGAACTATAAATCCCAGCAACTACAACTCCCAAATGACAAAACCACATTTGCATGTTTCCAAACTGCTAGGTTGATAGAAACTGGGGCTAACAGTGGGAGCGCACTCCGCTCAATTCCATCATTGGTGGAGTACAGAATGCTCTTTGATTGTAGGTGAACTATAAATCCCAGCAACTACAACTCCCAAATGACAAATATATTTGAATGTTTTTGAACTGCTAGGTTGGCAGAAGCTGGGGCTAACAGTGGGAGCTCACTCCACTCAATTCCATCATTAATGGACTACAGAATGCTCTTTGATTGTAGGTGAACTATAAATCCCAGCAACTACAACTCCCAAATGACAAAACCACATTTGCATGTTTCCAAACTGCTAGGTTGATAGAAGCTGGGGCTAACAGTGGGAGCGCACTCCGCTCAATTCCATCATTGGTGGAGTACAGAATGCTCTTTGATTGTAGGTGAACTATAAATCCCAGCAACTACAACTCCCAAATGACAAATATATTTGAATGTTTTTGAACTGCTAGGTTGGCAGAAGCTGGGGCTAACAGTGGGAGCTCACTCCACTCAATTCCATCATTAATGGACTACAGAATGCTCTTTGATTGTAGGTGAACTATAAATCCCAGCAACTGCAACTCCCAAATAACAAAACCACATTTGCATGTTTTCAAACTGCTAGGCTGGCAGAAGCTGGGGCTAACAGTGGGAGCTCATCCTGCTCAATTCAATCATTGGTGGATTACAGAATGCTCTTTGATTGTAAGTGAACTATAAATCCCAGCAACTACAACTCCCAAATGACTACATTTGCATGTTTTTGAACTGCTAGGCTGGCAGAAGCTGGGGCTAACAGTGGGAGCTCAGCCCCACTCAATTCCATCATTGGTGGGAGTACAGAATGTTCTTTGATTGTAGGTGAACTATAAATCCCAGCAACTACAACTCCCAAATGACAAAACCACATTTGCATGTTTTCGAACTTCTAGGTTGGCAGAAGCTGGGGCTAACAGTGGGAGCTCACCCCTCTCAATTCCATTATAGATGGAGTACAGAATGCTTTCTGATTGTAGGTAAACTATAAATCCCAGCAACTGCAACTCCCAAATAACAAAACCACATTTGCATGTTTTCAAACTGCTAGGCTGGCAGAAGCTGGGGCTAACAGTGGGAGCTCATCCTGCTCAATTCAATCATTGGTGGATTACAGAATGCTCTTTGATTGTAAGTGAACTATAAATCCCAGCAACTACAACTCCCAAATGACTACATTTGCATGTTTTTGAACTGCTAGGCTGGCAGAAGCTGGGGCTAACAGTGGGAGCTCAGCCCCACTCAATTCCATCATTGGTGGGAGTACAGAATGTTCTTTGATTGTAGGTGAACTATAAATCCTAGCAACGACAACTCCCAAATGACAAAACCACATTTGCATGTTTTCGAACTGCTAGGCTGGCAGAAGCTGGGGCTAACAGTGGGAGCTCACCCCTCTCAATTCCATTATAGATGGAGTACAGAATGCTTTCTGATTGTAGGTAAACTATAAATCCCAGCAACTACAACTCCCAAATGACAAAACCACATTTGCATGTTTTCGAACTGCTAGGTTGGCAGAAGCTGGGGCTAACAGTGGGAGCTCACCCCCTCAATACCATCATTGGTGGAGTACAGAATTCTCTTTGATTGTAAGTGAACTATAAATCCCAGCAACTACAACTCCCAAATGACTACATTTGCATGTTTTCGAACTGCTAGGTTGGCAGAAGCTGGGGCTAACAGCGGGATCTCACCCCACTCTCTGGATTCGAACCTGCGACCTTTCGGTAAGCAAGTTCAGCAGCTCAGCAGTTTAACCCACTGCGCCACCTATGCAAACCACAGCACTGTAAACTGTATGTACCATTTTCCTGGCTCCAAAGAGCAACTGGTGAGTTTAACCCATCCTATTTAGTCATCCTACTATTTAGCTGAGTTGACTCTACTACTGAGTTGAGTTTCCAACACAAGCACAACCCAAGTCAACTTACAGACACTTCGCCATTCTCGCTGTATGCGACGTAGGCCTTGGGCGTCTCCACAGCCTCATTAAAAAGGAGATCAGGACCATATGTAGTCTCCATATAGCGCTTTTCTGGCCCATATTGTAACTTCTTGTGTGGTCTTTCTAAAGCTCCTTCATCCAGCCTTAAGTTCTTCTGTTGTAGAACCTTAATGGAAGTGTAAAAAGCCAGAGGATGGGTTGAGCTCACCTTGTTTCCTGTCCCAGCACAGCAGATACCCAGAGCCATGGCTGCCCCATACCGGACGTGGGGGTTATAACTTTCAGACAGCAAGGAAACCACGCTTGGACACTGTTCGGGGGTCCTGGAAAAGAAAAACAAACACAACAATTCAATATATGGAACTGTAGAGACCAGCTACACCTTTCTGTCTGAAAATCGCGCAATCAAACCGAAGGGAATCAGCATGGTATTTTGGCTAAGGAGGATTTGGATTTCCCTGCTGCCTTCGAAGGCAGCTCTGAGTAGTAACATAAATAAGAAGGTGAGGAGAACAGAAGGTCACCGTTAAGATAAGCAGCCTCAGGCCCCTTTCTGAAGCCTGCGGACTATAAACGGCATCACAATTTGAGGACTATAAACTGCCTCATATGAAGCTGCTTGTCACCTTGTTCTCAAACAACGGCTCAAAAGCTGGCAAAAAGAATGAGCTGCCGTGGAGACGGGAAGAGACAGCTTTGAATAAACTATACAAAATATTCACAGTGAAGGTGGTTTTCAGGCTGGCACAACGGCGTCTTTGCATTTTGATTGCTTCGGCAATTATTCAGCAAGGAAGTTGTCATAAAGAGATTGAAACAATTTAAAACTTTTGTGTAGAATGGGTCACAGCACACATTAGAACCGGTATCTACTTTCATTAGTCGGACAAGATGGTGGTGGTGATGGGGAAAACCCTTCAATTTCTGAACATAGATTTCAAAACAATTTTTTATATGCTGGGATTAATCCCACACTGTTAATGTCAGCAAGATTTTGAGGCAGGTCACCAAACACTGCTTTTTCCAACTTAATTATTTCAGTAGGCAAATCCTACAATAATGAATGAGTGGTCTTAAAGGAAAAGTGTTTAAGGAGGGGAAACAGACGGTAAAGTTTGGTATTTGGAAAAACAATAAAAGGAAAAGAAAGTCTGCAAGCCAAGCGATGAAAGGACTTCGGAACCAAACATTTTATGTAAGTCAGGTTGGCAAAACATCACCCTCACCCTGCCCCCAAATGAATTAGCCATCCCCATGTTCGGTATGCTTTCAGTATTTCAAGAGGGGGGGCTCTTAGATTGCTGCAGCAAAAACAGCAGAGAGAACCTCAAAGGGCCCCTTTCACATGGCACAATTATAGCACTATGATTCCACTTCTAACTACCATGGATGCACTCTACAGTAGTTTGGTGAAATACTGGAGCTCTCTGGCTGAAAACTCTATAAATACCTGTACGAACGCATCTCCCTTTATGAATCACTGTGGAAACTAAGATCTTCTTGGGACACCCTGCTCTCGATCCCGCCACCATCACAGGCACATTTGGTGGGGATGGGAAACAGGGCCTTCTCAGTGATTGCCCCCCGGTTATGGAACTCCCTTCCCGGTAATATTAGATCAGCCCCCTCCTTCCTGTCCTTCAGAAGGATGGTGAAGACCTGGCTGTGGGACCAAGCCTTTGGGGCAGTGCAAGGAGGCAAAATGGTGTCCTGAGATGGCTTTTAAACAACTTTTAATGTGGATATAAGTGATTTTAATGTTTGTATATATTTATGGTTTTATGTCCCGGCATTGAATGTTTGCCGTATATATGCTGTGCTCCGCCCTGAATGGAATTGAATGTTTGCTGTATATATGCTGTCCTCTGTCCTGAGTCGGGGTGAGAAGGGTGGAATATAAATGTTTTCAATAAATAAATAAATAAATAAAATCTCCTTCCCCAATCTGCAAATTCCAGGATTTTAAAAGGCACAGCCATGGCAGTTAAAGTGGAATTATGGTGCTATATTTATGAGGTGTGAAAGAGCCCAAAAACTAATAAAATTTTATGATGGCATTTGTTTTCATGGGCGCTGCCCACTTCATCAAATGAGAAGAAGACATACTTCAAAGCCAAAAGAAACATTAAGTCAAAAGCCTTAGGTTTTCCTCTCCCAACACCATTTGCTATGGCATCATGAATTCTTCATTTTGTCAGTTTATGTGAGGAATACCCTTTTCCTACACAACTGCATATAGGACTTGAGCATCCATGGATTTTGGTACCCACAAAGGGTCCTAGAATCGAACTCCAGTGGATACAAAGAGCCCAAAGCATAGATTTAGCCAACTAATTCCTAACTAAATGGCCTGAAGTGAACTCATTTCTATCAACAACCCTAACTCTCAAGTCGTCTCTAATTCACATTCTTAACTGTTTAGCTGTCATACAGACCAACCTTTTGAAATCCTGTAAAACCACACTGCAGATCACCACAGTCAGTTCCCACAGTCCATACTCTCATCCCCTCTCAAAACATTATTGTGAAGGAGTTGTTAAACTGCTGCCACCAATTGTAACGATGACCGTTTTAATGCCACCGAATGCCACCAATAGTGAAGGTGCGCGTGGTAAAGCACCCACTGCCACCTAATCTATGAGGGAAGCCAGGCAACGATCAATATCAACCTAGGAGCTATTTTATAAAGGGACTGTTAATTACAGAAGGCTTTATTCACTTGATAGCATAGCGTTTACTTTCTTGGCTTGACTTTACTATTGCAGGCTGTTCAACTTAGGAGCAACTGTATCAGGCAAGGCTTGAGGAAAACAGTAACAGGTTTATTTCAACATGAGTATAACAATGTATAACTGTTCTTCAAAAGAGGCACAAATCTTGATGGTTACATTGGAAAGGTTTCATGAGTAATCTCAGGCAAACACTTCAAAAGGTTTCACAGCTGGCACAACAGGCTTAAACCCAGCCAAACCTTGATTCTTAATTCAGAATCAACAACCCCCTGTACCGGGTCCTTCTCTGCAACCACTTGGTCACCAATTGATTCCCTGAATCTCCACCAAGAGATTCAGTCTTTCCCTATAGCACACTGGCTACAGACACATTCCCTGAATCTCCACCAAAAGATTCAGTCCACTCAGTAGCTCGCTGGCGTACTGACTGACTCTTTTTTAAAACAGCTGCCCCTGAAGAGGCAGTTGGCTCCGCCCATGTTGCTATGGCAACTCAGCTAACGCCAAGCCACTCTCTCCCACAAAACATAATCTCCCATACTTACCATCCCTAAACTACTGTTTAAATTACACATAACCAAAGGAATAAAATTTACACATCGTCACAATTATATTAACTATACATTACATATACTTTACCTTCATTTTTCTAATAAAAACATAAACATTTTACATAAGTCTTCAAAAAGGCTTCTCATCCTTTTTCTCAACCCACACAATGTTAAGTCTTTATTTGCCTTCAAGTCAACTCTCACAGTCCTATGAATGTCATCCAACCAACCTGTTCCTCAACTGTCCAGCTCAGGTCTTGCACATTTCATGATTAAGTCTATCTATATGTAATAAGGTTTTATATTT